GCTTGTGACAATCCAGTCGACTACACTCCAGGGGTGTGCTGAACTAGGAAGAAATCAAACCATGGTTACATGGACCAGCCTTCTTGACGGTTCAGCCCAGCGAATGGTCCGACAATCAGATTCCCCTATCGCAACGGAGTTACTAGAAACTAAAAGGACCGTTACGTTAGTCGCCGCTTTAACCAACATCTTACTGCAGAAACTGCATCGTTTTTCAGGATGGAAGAAAATTATGAGGGTGGTTATTTGGTGAACCAGGTTCAAACGACAACTAGCTTTTAAGAGAGGACCCTGACGTGACGACACCTTGAATATTGGGCCCATCGCTCCAACTGAATTGAAAACAGCAGAAGCTGATGTTCGCATAGTTTAATTACAAGCCTTCCCATCGGAGCTTCAGAGGTTAGACAAGGGGAATCGTGACTCCGATCGACGTGCATTACGTTGCAGCTCTCTTCGAAGACTCTGTCCAATATTGGTTGATAGTTTACTGACAGTAGGCGGTAGATTAACAAACTTTGACGATAAATATCCCATCATCTTTCCCAACAATCACCACATCGCGCACACACTCATCATACATACTCACACGCAGGAAGGTCATAACGGGGAAAATCACTTACTCAATACGATTCGCCGTCGGTTTCAGATAGTGAAAGTGAGAGCTACGGTGAAGCGCATCATAGGTAACTGTCTTGTTTGTCGTCGCCAGAATGCTACATTCAGCAAACAACTGATGGCCTCGTTGCCAAGTTCCCGAGTACGACCAGTTTGGTGGCCCTCCGCCGAAACTAGAGTGGACTACTTTGGGCCACTTTGGGTGAAACGAAAGACGTCGACGGAGAAGCGGTACGGATGCCTGATGGCCTGCCTACAGTCACGCGCTTGCATATCGAGACAGTACACAGCATGTCGACCTTTTCTTATAGCCTGGCAGAGATTCCTGGGNTCTCCAACAACGGGTCCAATTTCGTCCGTGCACAAAAGGAGTTGAGCAACTGGTTGACGCGGTTAGACAAATGCGCCCTGCAAGACCGACTGTCGCCATCTGGAACCCAATAGCTCTTCAACCCACCCTACAGCAGTCACCGCAGAGGAGTTTGGAAACGGCTCACACGGTCGGTGCAAAAAGTATTGACAGTATTATTTGAACAACAGACGCCGGACGATGGAACTTTGAGTAAATTTCTGGTAGAGGCCGAAATTATATTCAACAACCGACCGCTTGTATCCTTAACCAGCGATGATCGACAAGGACTGGCACTAACTCCGGGTGACCTTCTGCTATTGAGGTCCAGTGATGGCCTAGATATGCCATAAACTATCAGTGGCTGCTATATTTCGGGTCGGAAGCATGCGAAGTACCTAGCAGGGGTGTTTTGGAAGCGTTGGACCAGAAAGTACCTGGCAACCTTTCAAGCTTGACAGAAGTGGTTGCGAAGAGAAAGGTCGCTGAAGGTTGGAGATGTTGTCCTTATGGCCGATGAAAAGCTACAACGCGACAACTGGCCACTGGGTGAAGTCATAGAAAGCCACACGGACTCAGATGGACTAGTAAGAACAGTTAAATTGAAAACATCTGCCGGTGAACAGGTGCGCGATATTCGACGAGTGTGTTTATTGGAGGGAGATGACTACCATGCCGTTGCTTGATGAAGTTGCAGAGACCCGCCGTGTATTATGTTGACTTACCTGCCCCCTTGTACCAATTGCGCCCAAGTGATATTCCCCCCACCTGTACGTACACGTGCTTCCACGTCCTCACCATACGTACTGTCTATTTTATTTTCGTGACTGAGTGTCTTTTTATCAGATTGATACACAATTTATGACATTAATCTAGAAGGTGTGACCCATGTCCTCACAATATTCATCCATTCACATACACACTATCACCTGCATGCTGAACATGATTTCAATTGTAACCTGGAACATTGATTACATCGTCCACATTTCCCCTCCTTTTTAACACATCGAGACTTTAGCTGTAATGATATTTATTTGAACAACTGTTAAATTAATCGTGCGGATGCAGAAAGCAGATAAGGACGATAGAACGTGCAAGTCATCGGAGGTCAAGATCAAGGAGTGCGGCGAAGGTTGAACAGTTCGCAGTTAGAATCATTGACAGCAGGGACTAAGTGAGTAGATAGGTAGGCAGGAATCAGTAATCTGCGCCAACCCTTTCACTCAGACGAGCGCAAGAAGGAATTTGGCCGCCGGTATTTCATAATGATTTTTTGAAAATCCTTCCAAACCCATGATGATCCAGGGTGACATAACTCTATCTGTGTGTTGCTTCTCTGTTGACATGTCTCAATCACAAACACCATACATTATTCTTTATCTGTTAATTCGATTCCCGGCACATTTGATTTTTTTGTGTTCAGAGAACGTGAGCGACTGTTTGGCTCTCTCTGGACACCATATTTGGCTCGCTTGCTTGAGTGCTTTTGGCCGCATATTTGAGGTTTGCTTTATTATAAATTTTGAAACAATTTCTCTAATTCAGTACCGTAGAACATTACAGATCAATCG